CAGACAGACACCTGCAAGCATCCAGATATCTGAACAGCATCTAGATATCTACACAGCATCCAGACATCTACACAGCATCCGGACACCTGCATAGCATCCAGATACCCACACAGCATCCAAATACCTGCACAGTATCCAGACACCTGCACAGCATCCAGACATTTGGAAAGCATCCAGACACCTCCTCTGCATCCCGAAACCTACACACATCCAGACAGACACCTGAACAGCATCCAAACAGGCACCTGTACAGCATGCAGACGCCTGTACAGCATCCAGACACCTGTGCAGCATTCAGACACCTGTGCAGCATCCAGACACATGTGCAGCATCCAGATATCATCCAGACACCTACACAGCATCCAGACACCTGCACAGCATCCAGACACCATCCAGACATTTACACAGCATCCAGACACCTGCACAACATCCAGACATCTGAACAGTATCCAGACAGCATCCAGACACCTGCACAGCATTGAAACACCTGCACAGAATCCAGATATCTGCACAGCATCCAGACACCTGCACAGAATCCAGACACCTCCACTGCATCCAGACACCTACACGCATCCAGGCAGACATCTGAACAGCATCCAAACAGGCACCTGCACAGCATCCAGACACCTTCACAGCATCCAGATATCTGAACAGCATCCAGACAGCATCCAGATACCTGCACAGTATCCAGACACCTGAACAGCATCTAGATACTTGGACAGCATCCAGACACCTCCACCACATCCAGAAACATACATGCATCCAGACAGATACCTGAACAGCATCCAAACAGGCACCTGCACAGCATCCAGATGTCTACAAAGCATCCAGACACCTGTGTAGCATCCAGATACCTACTCAGCATCCAGATACCTGCACAGCATCCAGACACCTGCACAGCATCCAGACACCTGCACAGCATCCAGACACCTGTGCAGCATCCAGACACCTGTGCAGCATCCAGACCCCTGCACAGCATCCAGACACCTGTGCAGCATCCAGACATCTACTCAGCATCCAGACACCATCCAGACACCTACACAGAATCCAGATACTTGCACAGCATCCAGACACCTGCACAGCATCCAGACACCTGCGCAGCATCCAGACACCTGTGCAGCATCCAGACACCTGTGCAGCATCCAGACACCTGCGCAGCATCCAGACACCTGCGCAGCATCCAGACACCTGCGCAGCATCCAGACACTTGCACAGCATCCAGACACCTGTGCAGCATCCAGACACCACTCAGACACCTTCACAGCATCCAGACACTTTCACAGCATCCAGACACTTTCATAGCATCCTGACACCTACACAGCATCCAGACACCCACACAACATTCAAGCACCTACACAACTTTCTAATTTGCTCCTCACTTATTCCTGTTAAACCCACCTTCTACTCACGCATGAGAGTCACTAGAAAAAGCACAGATCTGATTTTCTTTTTATGACATTTTGAATATTCAAACTTTCCCCATCACCTAAAAATTTGTGTTTGTTCAAAAGGCCAAAAAGACACCGCAAGTCCTCAGTCATCCCTACTCTGGCTGCTTCTTGAGTGCTGGCCCTAGCCTGGAAGGGGCTCCTGCTTTGCAACTGTGGGTTGTTCTCACTTCACTTGGCTCTGTCCCTGTCCTCCTTCTGGTTGGAAATGCACCTCCCACTGCCACCACCACACACACACACTGACTTTTTAAAAAAACTTTTTCATTAAAAAGTTAAAGTCCTATAGACAAGAGGAGAAATCAGTATATAATGTCACCCCATGCAGTCATTGCTCAATACCTAGAGTTGTCGCCTCAGGGCCCCTCTTGTGTGTGCCACCAGCGACGGTGCCCCACCTCCACTACTGATCAGACACAGAGGATATGTCATAGCCAGCTCCTATTGTTCCAAAGGAAGGAGGCTTTTTTATATAGAACAAAAATACCATTTTTAAACTACCGTGCTCAAGTCACTTCTATGAGAACACCTGTGGTGCTTTTAACACTGTTCTGGGTCAGACAGTCTAAGAATGGGGACCAACAACCTTTTTTGTGGGGGCTCAGCCAGATAGATTTGTTTTGATTGTGGTGAGACAGTCATAACACGAAACCGATCATTTTAACCACTTTGCAGTCTACTGTTCAGTGGCAGTA